CTATCCATGTTCCATGAATGCAATTGCAGGACAGGGAATGTATACAGCTAGACGTTCGGCCAATGTGAGGTGAAAAAATGGCACATAAGAGTGAAACCAACGGATCAAAATAGTTACTGCACGAGCAGCTTCGCATACCTAGTAATATATGATGCTTATAGGTGCTAAGAATACCGAAGCAAGATAAGCTCTTTTTGCAGGCTCCGGATTAAATGTTAGCAACAAAACACAGTAACTTTCCAGGGAAAAAAACCGAAATTATCTAGCCATTTCCACATAAACGGAAAGATCTGTTGACATGCAATATACAATTTGCCTATACAATTTGTCTAGAACAACTTTTTAGTGTTTGGAGAATCATGGTTAACCAAAAATACTATCATATGTTTATAATAAATAAATATTACTGAAAAATTATGACTTTTAATTTCTTAGTATAATTGTATAATTTAATTTACCAATTACCACCAAAACCTAATTGAACGAACGAAATAATGGAAAAAAGAGTTTCGGAAAAAACATGCCTTCGGAAAACGGCGCCGTAGGGGACATAGCGGTTTGAGGCAATTTGGTCTGAGCGGCGTCTCTTTCCCACCGCCAGTCGTTATCCTGCTGGCCTCCTCCTTCCTTCTCCCGGAGCGGCTGCTCCTCCTGGTGGCGGCCTTGGTAATACCCAGACTTATTGTTCTGGTGGTGCTGATGCATTTGACCGCCACCGCCACCGCCACCGCCACCGTATGCGTGGTGACCCCCACCGCCGCCGCTGCCTCCGCCGCCGGAATCACCTCCGTAACGAGCGCCTTGCCTTCTCATCTGTAACAGTTTCCCTAAATGATTATGAATCTTATTCGAATTTTTATTTCCCCGATTCACAGTGTATCTCTCTCTCTACTTGTAGGAGGAGAAGATTAATTGGGGAATTTGAAAGGGGGAAAATACAGAAAAAGAGTTGCCTTTTATTCGATTATTTATTATTGTAATTTATAAAATTATTATATATATATATATATTGTGAATGAAAATGCAATACATATGGAATATTTAAGTTAGATGATTTTGGGCCAAAACGTATGACTGCTATGGGCTGAATTCCATTTAGTAAGATCTCGAAATTTAAAAAGTCCATTTTTTTAGGCTACAAGAATTTTAAAGAGCTTATTATCATGGTAAATTACAACCATCCCCCGAGGTAATGTAAAATTACGAAATCCCCATCTTGTTTGGTTAATTACAACCATCCCTCAACTATTAATCTTTTTACACGTTCAGGTGTCAAATTCAACAGAATCTTCTAGATTATGTGGAATGTTCTTTAGTTGTACTCGTTTTGTGCAAAAATGAAGTTTCTAATGATCCACGATCTGATATATACAAGTCAAGAAACACATTTTATGATCATTTTGTTTCAATTTTTGGATCTCGAATGGGATAAAACGTGTATACACTGGAGAATATTTCACATAATCTAGAAGATTCCACTAAAATTTAACATGCAATGATAGACGTGTAATAAGATTCATATATGAGGGGTGATTATAATTATTCAAACACGAGAGGTTTCGCCGTAACTTGACATTACTTCATGGGATGGCTGTAATTTACCCTAAAATTATATAAATTATTCAAAAGGATTAAGAGATATAGATCTACAATCTACAAAAAAAACAGTATGTTAAAATGTAATATTGTGATTTATATCCAAAATAAATATTAAAAATAAATCATTTTTTTACCACAAAGTTTCACGACCTTATACCTAATATTTTAATAAAATTGTTTATTTTACAATCCCCAACTTCTATAAAAACAAATTGGGAAAATAGAGTCTTCATCCCTTAATTTTGCATTAATTTCACATTTAGTCCCTTATGTACACAAAAACCACATTTGGTCCCTTTTTTTTTTTAAAATTCAATATTTTTAGTCATTTCCATCAATTTTCTGTTAGTAGTAACGGAATCAAGCGCTTGTCCGTCATTACCTTAACTGACGAAATAATGGCAAATTGACGGAAAATACCAAAAATATCAAATTATTGAAACATGAATGGCCAGATATATTTTTTGTAAACATTGGGACCAAATATGAAATCAATCCAAACTTAAGGGGTGGAAATTGTAATTTGACCAAAAAAAACTCACTCGTCGATTATCTGAAGCTGATTCCAGAGCTCCACAATATGACACGTGTCGCTCCATGAAAAAAGTCAAGAAGTCAGCACAAAATTGCAACAACTAATTGAAACAACATAAAATCGTTATATTTGGGCCCGGGACAATACCAAAATGTTGGCTAGCCAGCCCATTACACAAATCCGCATAAAGATTTGCTTACGGCAATTCCATTACACCACAAACCCAATAACACATAATAAAAATCATACTTGAAATCATAGTCAATTATTGGCCACATGGAGATTTTTAAGAGAAAGTATCCACAAACTAATTTTGTAATTATATTTTCAGTGGTACTTCTGTAATTACTATTGAGTGACAATTCTGCAACTACTTAATAAATTGAAATATTAAACCATATAAGTTGAGATATTGAACCTCATACATTGAGATATTAAACTACACAAGTCAAGCTAAACGTGCACTGAATCCATACAGATCTGATCTAATCGGTCATTATTTGATCCACTTTGGATTCGCTTCTTTTTGAATCCGATCCACATGAATCCAGACCGTATATGGTCCAAGTTGAGTAAATTGCCGCTCCTAGCTACCACAAAGTGATGTCACATCTCATTTGGACAATTCTTATGGAAAATTAGACATAAAATCAAGCCACATTATTTAATGCTCCCTTAGTTGTAGTGGCTTCTAATTAAGTAACAACCATTCCTAAACTTTTGCGTTGTCTCTTGGTATATTGTCTGATAAAAAAAAACACTGGATTACAAAAGAAAAAACAAGATCTCTTGGTAGAGTTCCCAAGATTATTGAGAAATCACTAATTAGTGTCATCATCCAATGTAGTACTACCATAATATTGGAGTGTGTATAGACTTATATTATATTAAACACTAAAATCAAAAGAGTTTAAATAGAAAATCAAAAAACCCGCGTCACAAAAGTAAGAAATTAAACGGGAATACAATTATTAGAAATAGGGCTTTTTCATTTTCATGAAAACGCGCAAGAAGCAAGATGATGAGCCGCAAAATTTACGTCGCGGGAGCAAAAACATCCAATGAGTGTCGCCTACTATTTTTTCAAAGTTAAAACCTAACACAATTTTGCCTATATAAGACCCTTAACTAAATTAAATTAGTTAAAAAAAATTGAATAAATTAAAGGGGCACGTGTAATTATAGATATTCTCTTAATTTAAAAAAAAAAAAGTTCCTCCAAAATATTTCATAAGATTTTGTGAAATAAAAACAATGGTGTATTCCCTTATTTAGTAGCCATTGACATTTTGAAGGAGAAGATATGTTTCACAAATTTAGGGTTAGTGGAATTCTTGGTGTACCCACTTCTGCAATTGTAAGTGTTTCATAGGCAGACAATTTCCTGCAGAATACACATGAAAAAAATATCAAAACATAAAATAAAAAAAAATAAAAAAAATAAAAAAATTAAAAAAATCAAACAAAATCTATGGGAGGATATTGCATTCATGACCAATTCATAGACAGGCAAAAATATTTATGACATGTACATAAATTAGATTTTGTCGATCTTGTACCGGGTCCGGGTGTCTAATGTGTAGCTAGGGCATATCTAGACATGCCCTAAAGGCTAAAATGAACAATTAATTAAAGTTCTTTATTTTTTTCTAAAAATACCTTTTTTATATTTGAAAGTCCTATGATAATCAAATATTAATTGATCAAATATTAAAATCTAAGGAGTTTTTGTTATCACTAGTGTTTTGAAAACGAGACCAGACATTGAACCGGACAACCTAATGGATCACGGACCGTGGTTCGTTATTTTTATTTTCTAATTATTTATATTTAATTTTTTTAATAAATAAAACCTACTTTCTTTTACACATTAACCCATTATTTCGATCCAA